ACAACAATGCTTTAAACTGGGTACACTATTATCTGTATTTTAAACAAAAGGAAACTGTGATTGGAAGAGATAAATGACTTGCTCAAAGTCATAATGAGAGAGAGAGAGAGAGAGAGAGAGAGAGAGAAACCCGTATTCAAATCCAGGATGTCTGTCTCTACCTCTTTAACACTGAGTATCTGTCCAGTGTACATCCAGTTTACTTCTAGGAATCAGCAATGTCAGAGTTTGGACAAGTGGGTTGGTACCTAATGCCACTACCTGTGATCATAGGAAATCCATGGCAGTGCTTTTGCTACCCTGTGAAATGTAAAGTCAGATGTTCATGAGTTGAGGGTCCACCGGACAAGACCCTACAATTGTTGTACATTAGAAATGCTCCAGAGACTTGCATTTTATCAACCAATGTGCTTTTTAAAGATAAGGAAACTGAGGCCCAGAGACGTAAAGTCCAAGGAAACACACCTAATTGATTAGTATCAAACCACAACAAGAACACATGTCTTCTAATGCCCAACACCGTAATTTTTTCCCCACTATATCTTGCCTCACATAAGATGCCTTAAGACGAGTATATATGAGGAAAAATCACCCTAAGGTGACAAAGAGAATTAACTTTTATCTCTTATTTTTAGCAATGCCTGTTTTGACTCTCTAAGAAAAAGGGCGAAGTTCAGGGATACAGAGATTTAGTCATATTGTTGGGACGACAATCCATTGCAGCAGAAATAAGGTCTTACCCGGTTGGAACTAGATACAAGGAAATTTCAAGAGACTCAGAATAAAAAGTGTCCCTGAGCCTGGAATTTAATCCAGACTCTCAACCACAGCAGAAGGTGCATTCTTTCCTCACAAGTCCTATATGCTAACGCATTCTTCTTATGGAGCTCCATTTTAGGACTGAAGATTTCCTTTGAGAGACAGAATCCAAATGCTGTCCTTCTCTGTCCCATGCTAGCCTGTCTTTACCACAGAATGCAACACACCCTGTCTCAGCTTCACCTCAAATTTGCCTCCTTATTCTCATTCACTCCTATCTCCTCCTATTAGTGCAAGGTGGGATTCTCTGCCCGCCCCCACCTTCATCCCTGTAAAGTATCAAAGTCAGAGCACTGTTAAAGGAAATGCGTGACTGTACATAAGCCAATCTCTGACTATCCAAACCATCACACCACATGTCCGACCCCTGGAGAAAACCCTCAGTGACCCACCCAGCTCCAATCTCCTACTCTCCTGCACCATCTCCACACTCAACAGCCTAGATATTGACTCAGGGATCCATAAAATGTACACCTATTCCTGATA